GACAGTTGCGGTGTGTGGGGTCGGGCGGGAATGAAAGCCCTGCCCCGGGTCCCAGGAATGTTCCTGCGGGGCATCCTGTGAGACAAGGCATGAACCTTCGGGCTAGAAACCATGCTTTCCTCCCTGAAACTGCTGACCGTGTCCCTGCTTTCCCAGGGAAAGACCGTTTCCCTGATCTTCCCGTGTGTATGCTGGTTATTCTGTCGGTGACTCACCTCCATCCATTACACAAACTCCTCCAGCTCACACCAGCTCAGAGCTCAATGATTTTTTTATTTGACCACCTAAGGGAAAAGAGGTTTGTGCCCGGCTCAATGATTTGTTTCATGAATAAGCCTACTATTTGGTTTCATTCATAGAGACAGACCATCCACGCCGATGGAGTCCACCGGACTGGGGACTCTCTTCAAAGGCTATGTGTCCCCAGCACCAGTAGAGGGCGAACCCTAAGTAACGCTTCTCTAATAAGTCAAACATCCTATTTCACGCGCTCAAACATCGCACAGAATACCTTTGCCAACGCCGCTGCTGGTCCCGGTTTTACGAGTTTGCCGCCCGCAGGTGCGGAGGAACTGTTCTCAGGTTTAGTTTTCTCTACTGGTTGCGTTTTGTTTATCCCAGACACCTTAGGCCCCGAGCCAACACTCCTGCTTGCTTTCTTCATTCTGGGCTGCCTCTTCGTGATACATTTACAAGCGAATCTGTGGGAAGAAATGGGACACTGAGAACGAAACGGGAAGAAAGCGCCTGAGAAATCTACTTTTGAAGAATTTTACTATGTGATAAATAAAAATGATCGAAAGCTAGATGCAGCTGCAGAAAATAAAAGTGAAACATTCTTAGAGTTATTAATGCGCCCTTATTTGCAGGGCTCCCTTCTTGAACATGATGAATTTGGAATGATTCTAATTTAATGTACTTCATGTGACTCCTGGTGATGTCAGTATAGGACAGGCTCCGTGCTGTCCCCGGTCTCAGCACAGCCCAGGAGGTCAGGAGGGCTGGGCAAGCTCCGGCTGTGACACACGAGCTGTGCGGCCTGTGTGGCCGTGGGCAAGTCACTCAAATCACTTCATCGCTTCCTGTCTGTGCACCTCTGCTTCCTCTCCTCTCAGGAGGAGTTGGTGAGCCCAACCCAGAGAGTCCTCCCGCGGAAAAGAACAGGACTCCTGACACACTCACTCCAGAAGCTACTTCACCAGGCTCAAGTGCCAGAGAAACAGTGCCAGAAGCTAAGATGAGGGGCGACAATTTATTTCAGTGATGCAGACTCCACCCTCCCAAACCATCCACCCAGGAAAACATACCAATGGAGCTTCAGAAATAATGCCAAAAGGGCCTGAGGAATTCCTCTTCGCCGCCATTGTATGTCTGATCAAATCGGGAACCTTTCTGAAATCTCAGCTTTCTCCTAAGTAAAACGGGTTGGTAATCAGACCACCCACCTTAAAAGAGTGTTGAGAGGATGAACTAAAATAATAAACCGCGAATGCTTAGCAGGGTGGCAGCCCACAGTAAAGACGGAGTCGATGTAAGCGATCGTAATTTCTAGAGCACACACCGCATGCCCCGAGTATGACTAAGGCCTATTAAAATAAAACAGCAACTCAAAAGACACTTTGTGAGAGGGACTCTCTATAATAAGAAGTGGCTGAAGATTGTTTTTACTTACCACTTCCATTAAATTACATACTGCGGGGCGCAGAGGCCGACAAACAGCACTCGCTTCTGGTTCTTCCCCACTGAAAATTACACGGCAGGAAATACTGAAAATACATGGTAGGGAATTCACTAGAACAATAATCAGGAGACTTGGGCTGTGGTCAGGCCCGACGCCTGACTGTGGGCGAGTCATGCTAACTCTGAGCCTCGGTTATGAGGCGGGCAGGAGCTGTTAGGATCTTTCTTTCAGAAAGTCAAAAAGGCCATTTTACAATTTGTGCTTCAGAACCAGAAGTCAAACCATTTTTTAAAAAAGAAATTGCGCCAAAACCGGTTTGGCTCAGTGGACAGAGCATCGGCCTGTTGACTGGAGGGTCCCAGGTTCGATTCCGGTCGGGGGCATGTATCTGGGTTGCGGGCCCATCCCCAGTAGGAGACGCGCAGGAGGCAGCTGATCGATGTTTTTCTCTCATCGATGTTTCTAACTCTCTATCTCTCTCCCTTCCTCCCTGTAAAAAATCAATAAAATATATTAAAAAAAAGAAATTGCTTATTAGTTACGATTGTTTATGCCTATTAATATCTCATTAAAAATCCGAAAAGGGTTTTGACCCAAACAATCTAAATACATTTCTCTCTATAATTTCACAAACTTCATATTTACGACGTCGGGATCGTGTTAAAATTGTAAACTAAGAGCAGACTTAAAACACAGAGAAGGAATCACATAGCCAAGGGAAAACCGACATTCAGCAAATTAGCTACATTATGGCCAGTAAATAAATGCTGCTAAATGAACCAAAACCAATACCCAATCTGATAAAAGCACACGTTCTACAAAAACCAAACAGCCCGGCCAGTGTGGCTCAGTGGTTGAGCACCGACGCATGAACCAGGAGGTCACAGTTCGATTCCCAGTCAGGGCCAGGCTTCGGGCTCGATCCCCTCTCCCTCTCTCTGAAATCAATGAAAACATGTTTTTTAAAAAGTTGAAAAGATTCAATAAAAATGCTTTCATTAAATAAATCGTAATGCACTAGGCTGGTCCTATCCTGAATTCCTCAACATATACATATTTTTAACCTTACTTACTGTGAATTACAACACACAATCAGGAAAAAAACGCATTTAAATGTATATATTTAATAGACGTGGAGTGGGATTTATTGAAAAAGGCCAGGCTCACTCAGAGGAAAAGCTGAGTCTTGTCATGTCAAAAAGCCCAAGAAAACAACACAAAACAAAAGCCTGCACACGTGCGAGGGCGTGTGTTCAAGGCGCACAAAACAGAGGCGAGAAGGGGAGATGCCTCCAGAAATGTGGTTCTCTGCTGAGAACGAATCCACAAAGTCCATCACTGCTCAAAACACTCCACTTCTTACTGACAATTTTACATGCTTATTGCTATTCTAGCATGATATTTTTAAGACAGAATTTATCTCATGCCTAAAATTAGGTTGTGATTATCAACTAATATGCACATTTAATACGGTTGTTTTACCTGTTTCCTGAAATCAATCATGCACATGCCTACGGAGGAAAGATGGCACTTCCATCTACCTCTCCTCCACCCCAACCTCGAGCTCTGGGAAGGAAGCAACTTTGCCGCGTCCTCTCCTTATTCTAGGGTGCAGGCCCCGACCCACCGCACGGTCCCAGGAGGAGGGAAAAGCTCCTCCATGCTGTCCACCCTCCTCCCCTCACAGCTCCCTCCCGAGTGAGTGGCTGCCACACTCTGCCCGGGGCCGGGGGTGACCAACACGGAGGGAGGCCGTGCTGTGCCACATGCCCGCGTGGACACTAATCAGTGAGAAGGAGGTGACGGTGAGCCAGGTCAACACAGCTCCAACGAGAAGCACGGAAGCAAAACCAGGCTGCACTGGAAGGGAAGAAAACTTGAGTAGAAGGTGAAAGACAAAAAACTTTTCCAAAATGGGGCTTTGTGAACCCTGGCCGACGTGGCTCTGTTGGTTGGAGCATCATCCTGGGCCCCAAAAGGTTGAGGGTTCGATTCCCCGTCAGGGCATATAAGGGAGGCACCAATCAATGTCTCTCTCTCTCACTCTCTCTCTCTCTCTGTTCCTCTCTCTCTGAAATCAATAAAAAACATATCCTCGGGCGAGGATTTTAAAAAGTGTTTTGCCTTTGTGAGAGAGAGAGCCAAAGAGTAAGGAGGCGGCCAGCTGGCCGGGGGGCGGGAGGGCGGGAGGCCGCTGAACCCCACCAGCACACTGGACTCTCATGTCCGCCCTCCGTGGCTGGGAAGGAGGAAGACACCATGGTTAGCAGTTTGCCCAAAGCCTGAGCTCTTTCTTCTAAACTACAGCTGCTGCTAACAGGATGCTGGGAAAAAGGAGCTAATTATCAGGCAACAAAAATTCAAAAGCCCAACTCCATCTCCTCTGGTTCTGGCCACAGAAAGCCCACCTACACTAATTTATGATTTTTCTCTATTACCCGACAAGATTTAGCACAAGGAAATATTTAAACAAAACTAGAAGCTCCCTGGATTTTTCAAACTTAAAACCATCCATATTCTCCTTCTTAGTGCGTTCCAAAGAATCAAACAAAAAACCTAATGTCATACCGAGATCTCTCCAGACCATTTCAGGAGATCTCTCTCTCTCGGTAATACAACTGCTGAAAAGCCGTTAAACTACTAACAATACTTAACATTCCAGACAAGTGACAGGGCTGGAAAGGGACGGCCGACAAGAATTTCTGGCTGCGGTACACAAATGATTATTCCAGATTTAGACCAAAACAAATTGGCTCCCAAAGTTCAAAATCCCAGAATGCAAGAAATGTTGTCTCCTCTGGCCACTCCCTTCTCGGCCAAGGTTTCTGAATATTTATAAAAAGAAAACGTCTATTCAGGATTCTTGCAACCGGTGGCTTTATGCTCAGGTTTTGGCAGGCGGTTATAAACTCGCACAGTCCTGTATTCATAAAATTAACCGTCGACCATTATTTTAAATTTAAAACATCAATTTGAGATATTTGTATATTTATAACAAACTGATCTGAAATACAAAATGAAACATTTTCTTTTGTATATCACTAGTCAGTGAAGTGTATCACTAAAAATCCTTTAAAATAAGCTTAAAATTTTAGGAGGAGAATTTTTGTTGGCAATGACATAAAGTCTTGCTAAACCACAGTCAGGCCTTGCTTGTCTGCGGCAGGTCCGCACATCAGGGCCACGTGGAAAGGGTGAGGACAGAGCGGGGCTCTGAAAAGGGAACTCCCGACCCCACGCCCTCCCCCCAGCCCACTCACTCCCCGGGGGGCTTTCTCTGAAGGGGCCTGAACAGTGAGACTGCCCCGGGCTCAGGGGGTGCTCTGTCTTCAGACCTTTAAAAGGATGGAGAGGTGTCTTGGCTGACAGCAGTCCCTCCTCTCGGGCCCCACCGCCCCGGCCGCAGGAAGCGCACAGCTGGATACGTACCAGGGCGCCAGATGTGCTCTCTGCTTCCTCCTCCGGCCCCACAGGCCTTCTCCACACCCGGATTCCAGAATAGAATGTTGTCAGTTTTACAAGTACACGGCCACACTGCTGCTCCGACCGGCCCCTCTCCCTGGAAGCCCGTGACCACCTTCTTGGCGAGAGCAGGTCCCGGTGTCGGCCCTCCGCTGGGGCACGTGGGCCCCAGAGCTCAGCTCCCACAGCTGAACCGGGGCAGCTTCGGGGCCGCCGTGGACGGAACGGGCCGTCACTCTGAAGAGCTGTGCCAGGGCTGGAATTGTCAGAAAGGACAGGACGCCGGGGCTCCTCCAGCACTCAGCACCCCGCAGGCCCCCGCACGCGGATGCTGTGTCTGAGGCCAGGCAGGGCCAGTGCCGTAAGTGTATCGTTCAGTAACTATACAGAGAGCAGAACCACAACTAGAAAAACACAAAATCATGAGAAGAGCCCAGGTCCCAGAAGGAAATCCTAGCAAACGCTTCTTGGACCTGTGAGTTCATCACTGAGCAGTTCCCAGGCTGTGAAGAACACCCCCTAACGGAGTGAGATCGTCCACTCCCGATTCCGGGTAGGATGAGGATGTGAGAGGAGAAAAGGGGAAAACATGGAGAGCACTTCCTTCGGAGTTCAGATGTCATGGGCCACACTTCCTGGTTAAAATGCTGAGACGCGCATGCCCCTCAGTTACACTGGTTCTGCTGTTAGCTCTTCCCACGATCGTGAATGTCCTTAATGGCATCTAGAGGAGCGATTCTTCCCAGGCTTTCAATGTACTTCGCCCAGATCCATCAGAAGAGTCACTATCTATTGCAGCTATAACCTTAGGAAATGTATTTCTTAAATAATGAGTTGAAAGTCAAAATTACTCCCTTGACCCATGTCAGTGCAACTGTAACTACCATTTACCAGCCAAAGCTACACAAAACAGATTTGTGCCTCTTCCATGTCAAAGCTCTCCAAATATTTCAGTGACAAAAGAAACAATGCCTACCTAGGTTTTCTATGTTCCGGGCACTGGAGTTCCTTCAGCCGTAAGGATCCTGTTGCGATGACCCTCGTTATTAGTAACAGGAAGGGAGCAAAGGGAAGGCCGAATATAGGCATGTCACTGGGCAGCTGCCCCAGGAAGCTAGAGCTTCACACTCCCCAGCGAGCCACCAGCCTATTCCCCGCCAATCCTGGGGGAGGGGGCTAGACCGGGGGAGACCCATGCCTATTTTAAGTTGGGGTGACATCGGAAAGGTACCTGCCCTGTCAGTCACACCTGAGGACAAGTCATTGGCCAGAATGGGCGTGGCCACTGCAAGGGTACAACATTTGGGATATTTCATTCCCTGAACAAAGGAGTTTGTTCTCTTGATGACTCTCGGTGTGTTGCACTTGACTCCTAGTTTGAGGGGCTCTTTCTCCCCGGCCAACGGCCTGGCCAAAGCCATGTGAACTCGCACGCGCGACGGACTAAATGGACCATAAGTAGCCTGATGTGAACTGCACCCAGCTGCAACATGGAACAGACGCTCTGCACGCTGGCTCTGACTTTAGCTTTCCCAAAACCCCAGCTCCACCCCATGGCTGGACTGGACTTTAGAAACACAGAGGTAATCCCATGCAAATAGAAATCATTCCTCATTCCACGCGAGTCTCAGAAAATTCTTCCCCTCGAGATATCGTAAGGACCCCCCGCCCCCCGCCAGAACCCAGTGGGGAAGAGGATACCGTCCCCAATAACAATATGACAAACGCATTCTAGCTGAGCAGCAGCCTACGGCAGTGAGAAGAACACAGGACGTTTAGTCAGAAACCTGGGCTCTGACCCAAGCTTGCCGTGGGTTAGCTCTGTATTCTTAACCTTGCTTCATTTACAAAATTAAGGAAAATAATAGTTGTCCTAATTACCTCAAGATGTGTCAAGGGGACCACATTTAGTGGAAGGGACACGTGAAATGTAGGCCTTTTCAACTCCGCTGCTATAGGTGCTACAGTTCTATGAACATAAACTTCATAAACCCTGGGAATTAAATTAGTTTTATAAATAAAGTTTGGAACCCAACCCACCCTGAGCACATGTGGTGGGAGGAGAATCAGAAGCCAAGGCAGGAAGAGGTGACACAAAATGCAGTGCAGCTGGACGGCCGCCTGGACGAAACAGGGGCCGCATCCGAAACCTGACAAGCTCACCTGAGGCCTGCCCGCAGCCTTACAAACGCCCAGACCTGAGGTAACCACTAGGATGGTCTGAAATTAAAACTTTCTAACAGCAGCTCAAGGCGTAGTCATGTCTAGGGCGGTGTTCTTCTCCTACAAAGCTTAATCTTCAACTTTTCCCACCTAAGATAACAGCCCTGATGACATACCTTTGAAGTAGCAAAGTGCTCTCTCCCTGTCCCCACCCCTCAAAGCACAACCTGAGCAGAGGCCGCACACCCCTCATGGCTATTGTCATGCTGTTAACTACTCTAGACTCACCTGTGAAAGAGGGACGTGCGTGCCTCCGAGAGAGATTTCCCGGCTTCACTTCCCCCTCCGCCTCTGGAATATATCACCAACGGATTTCATGTAACCCCCTTCCTCTCCCCCTTTGATTCTGATGTGCAAAATATGTGGTAAAACTGCCATTTTTAGGCGAACTTTCTCAATCAGTTGAGATTTTGCCTCCTGACAACTGTCATCAGTTTGACTCAAATAAACTCACAAAAATTTACAGGTTTGAATGTTTATGTTGACACATACTCTCCACTAGATCTTCAGAAATACTAGTTTAACATAAACTTGAAGGTTGCATTTTTTTTCCCATCTAGAAACAAGGAACATTAGGAACTAAAATGCCAAAAAAATATTTTGCAAAATAACATTTTACTCCTTATAGTGAAATTCTGATTAATAAATGATTTGCATTCCATCATGAGCCAGCTCTGTCCCAGGCTGGAGGGTCTGACTAAGCAAGTCACTGACAAGTGTGTATTTCTAACTTCATTTCCAATTTTTTTTAAAAAACCAGCCCTGGCCAGTGTGGCTCAGTTGGTTGGAGTGTCCACCTACGCACAGAAAGGTCTTGAGTTCAATTTCTGGTCAGGACACATACCCAGTTATGGGTTTCATCCCTGGCTGGGGAAGGTATGATAGGCAACAGGTTGATGTTTCTTTCTCTCTCTCTCTCTCTTTAAAATCAATAAAGAAAAATAACCTTGGGTGAGGATTAAAGAAATATTTTTCCCCTTTAACTACTGTTTTCCCTAGGCTATATGCACAATAGACAAACTTGAAATCTACTATCTTAATCTCAAAGATTTACTGTCCAAACACGTAAATTAAAAAAAACAACAAAAAAGCAAACTTAAGGTGAAAGGTATACAAGGTGGAAAGGGCAGCTGGGAACAAAGGCGATGCCCACCCGGTTTCTGGGTGACAGCAGACAGAGACAGTCTTCTTCAGGAAATAGGATTCTGATCAGACGCTAAGGCACAATGAAACGGACTTTGCAAGCTGGTATGCGTGGCTGGGAGGGGTCTCGAGGCTGGTGGGGTCAAGTGCACCTGGAATGCAAGCTCAGGGCAGGGACTCGGTTCCACTTTCGCTGCAGCACTGATATGCCCGCGCTAGCCGCGCCCAGCACGTGCAACCACTTCACCTGGGGCCAGACACTCTGCTATGCACTGCGGTGTCACCGGCTAAGGAGCAGGAAAAAAACACAGCTGCCGCCCAGCCAGCGTGGCTCCGTGGCTGAGCTTCGACCTGTGAACCAGGAGATCACGGTTCGATTCAGGTCAGGGCACAGGCCCGGGCTGCGCACTCCATCCCCAGGGTGAGGTGTGCAGGAGGCAGCTGATTGATGGTTCTCTCTCATCATTGATGTGTCTATCTCTCCCTCGCTCTCCCTTTCTCTCTGAAATCAATACAAATATATTTAAAAACACACACACAGGTGCCAAATCCTAACTAAACAGGGTGCTAGACAAATCTGCGGGACAAGGGATGTCTCCAGGCCAGGTAATATCTGAGCTGAGCTCTGAAGGTGACAATCAGATGACGTGAGAGAACATTCCAGCAGAGGAAGACCAGGAGCCTGGGGAGAGTTCCAGGGACCAAGAGGCGTTGAGCAAAGCGCAACGAAGCACCTGAGAAGAGGGGGAGGCTGAGAGTGGAGGCCAGGCCCACGAGGAAGTGTCCGCTACCAAGCTCAGGACTGGTAGGCCAGACTATGAAGGACTTGAAGTTGCCGGAGTGGGAGTGAGGAGGGGACTATGCACAGATCACTATTCTGGAAAGAAGGCAGGAGCAAACATCTGGATTTAGCTAAGGAATAAAGAGCAGAACTACAATGAAGAGGTGGGAAAAGGTCAGGAAAAACACTGGTAACACATCTGCACTCTCTTCTCTCATGGACAGACCCCTTTATGGGGTTACCAAGTCATCCTCCGAAAATGGAGAACTCAGCGGTAGCTTAACTGCTGAGCTACACCAGCTGGGCTGGTTATATTTTTAGAAATAAAGATCTAACCACTATGCAGTACACCTGAAACCAATACAAAATGGGCCCGGCCAGCGAGGCTCAGTGGTTGAGCGTGGACTTACGAACCAGGAGGTCACAGCTCGATGACAGGTGACAGCACATGCCCCGGTTGTGGGCTCCATCCCCAGTGTGGGGCGTGCAGGAGGCAGCCGATCCACGATTCTCTCTCATCGATGTTTCTCTCTCTCTCTCCCCCTTTCCCTTCCTCTCTTCTCTGAATATATATATATATAAATTTTGAAGAGGGAACAGACTTATCAAAAAATAGTATAAGAATGAAAGTAGGTG